CTTGGCCAGTTTAGGATCGGGAAACGAACTTGTCAAGTGCTTAGAATGTTCAGAGAGGGGGCGTAAGGTTGTTGGTGTGATGGGTAAACGCAGTTTTGAAAAGAAATCTGTGACAGTTCAGTCAAGCATTTCGTCGAACAATGGGGCTGTTATAGTAAACCCCGAGGTTGAAGAGAGCTCTATGGTCTCTAAGGAGTGTGGTGATGTTAATATGACGGATTCTGAAGTGGCTGTCGGGACAAATGTTTTTACGCAAAATGAAATTGATGCCTGTACAGAGTCTAGTAAGAAAGAAAATGATACAAGCTCTGACAGTGCTACTGGTCCCGCCCAAAATGAGGATGCTTTTGGTTCTGGGTTGCCAAAAGAATTGAGGGAATCAGTTGAAGAAGAGGAAATTAACGGGGAGGATAAACCCGTGAAAAGAAGTGAGTTTTGTTATGGTCTGAAGGAGAAGGAGAGATTCAACAAAATATTGAAGCATTATGTTGGGTCTCACAACTTCCATAACTTCACTACAAGAACGAAAGCTGAAGACCCTTCTGCTCAACGATACATTGTCTCGTTTCATGCAAACACGACAGTTAACGTTGAAGGTATTGAATTTGTCAAATGTGAGGTCGTTGGACAGAGCTTCATGCTTCATCAAATTCGGAAGATGATTGGTCTTGCAGTGGCAATCATGAGGAATTGCGCTTCTGAGGAATTATTTGATACTGCTTTTCAAAAGTAAGTTATCTCGTATTCTTTCTTCCAGCTATTCCTGTTGGTTTCCAAGCCTGCCTTTACTTAATGTTTTGTGTTTCGTTCAACGCTATATGAACTATAGGGATGTGAATATTAATGTGCCTTCAGCACCGGAGGTTGGCCTATACTTGGACGAGTGTCTGTTTGCATCATATAACCAGAAATGGAAAGACAGTCATGAAGAGCTGTCCATGAAAGACTACGAGGAAGAAGCAGAAGCCTTCAAGATGAAGCATATATACTCCCATATAGCATCAACTGAACATAAAGATGGAGTTGTAGCTCTATGGCTGCATTCTCTGAACCACCGAAATTATCCTGATTTGTGTGTTGTCAGGAGTGAAAATATTGCAGAAAAGGAAGGTGATGGAGTGGAGAAGAATGGAGTAACCGCTGAAACAACAAGTGGAATGGAGATTAATGTAGGGATCATTCAAGGGAAAATTTGTGAAGCAGAGAACAGGTCAGAGTGACTTCATCTCGTGCAAATAGACCTTTTGTTGACTCTTGACTGGCCTAGCTTTTGCTATTATTATATAACACTTATCATGATTTTGGTATTTATTAGAAAGGACGGATTTGATAAATATTGATGCTTTATGGATCATCCATGATCATCACGGATTAGTTGGCCTAGTATTTACATGTTCTTATTTAAAATAAATGATGATATCAGTTATCTGTCAAAATATTGAGTTCTTACTTCTTCCATGCATAACAATTAAGATGTAAAATTTGAATGAGAATGGAAGTAAATTTAAACCAAATCCAATGATAGTACCTCCTTTAAACTCTTCAACTGCTTCGTTGAAATGAAAACAAGAGCTTTTTCAAAGTGAAGGGTAGGGGCATCTCAGAAAATAAAACCCATTCCAACCCCCTAGCCAAAGCCTAACTTTATCACTCAGAGTAGATTAAATCATACTTCCCCAAAAAGAAAAAAAAAATAGTAATAACAGTACTCAAATCATAGTCAGTCAACAAGCAAACTAGAGTGGATTATGAAGGTACTGACCTTTGACTGTCATCATACCGTCTTCCCCTAATGAAACAAGCCTAGGAAATAGGACCCATAAAGATTCACTTGAAAAAGAGTTTGGAGGAAAGTAGCAGCATCCTAATCACTGTGTATCCTTGCAATTGTCAGATTTGGCTAGTCGTTCTGATCTTGTTTCTCTAACACCGTGTATAGATTGAGCTAAGTAAGGGAGAAAAGAAAGACAATGAAGGGATGTCCCCCCGTCTTGTTTGAATAAAAAGTAACAGTTACTAAAGAAAAGGATAAAGTGGTAGCATCCGCAATTTGCTAAATTCTGGTTTTTTCAAAAAAAAAAAAAATCTCCAATTGGAAGAAAAAGGAAGATAATCTAAATTTGAAAAAGAGAAAAAGTTATAAACTTGATTAATCTACCGAAACCACTGTGTATTGCTGCAATAGTTAGCTAGTCAAATTTAGATAAAGGTTTCAATTTTATTGAATTCCAATAAAATTTCCATAAAGTAAATGCAAAACTTTAAGACGATTACATAAAGAATATTAATTTGTTTCAAACATACAAAAATATGTATATAATTAATTTACATCTGTTGAGGATATAAAATTCTATCACTGAATAAAGATAAAAAGAGAGAAACTCTTTTTGGTAGACTAAATTATCTGTTTGTTCTCAAGCAAGAAGACATATCAAATTCGTTCTCTATGTTCGTCACTTTCAATTCAATCAGCTAGCTATTTTTCAAGCCAGATTGATTGTGGCCAAACACCTCTTGGTGGAAAATCTTGAAGATAGCAGCGTAAAGAACTGATAGTTTCATCTTCTACATCGAACACACCTTGGTCGCGGCCATCAGTGATGCTATTCTTGTGCAAATCTCCATTGTCATCTGTGAAGTAGATGCAATTACCTTTTAATATGTTGCTACCGGCAACCCGCACCGCTAATGACTGATTTTGGCCCACGAAAACCGACCAACCATCCAAGTCGGTATGTACCCAATTCTCAGGACCATCCAGATCGTACACCTCAAATTTATGTGTTATTTTCTGACCAGAAACAGGGTTATTTTTCCAGTGTCTAATTATAAGACTCAATTGTTCCTCTATCACCACCAGATATACTCTGTTTCCCTTGAAAAACCATGGTCCTGCAATTTCTTTAACGTTACTTTTCTCACAACGAACAACTCTTCCATACCCATCAACCGCATAAAAATTTATCTTGTGCGATATGATATCGTCGTAGAAAGATCCAGCTTCTTGTAACATAGTCCATGTTTTGTTACCGGAATCGTAGCGAGCTAGCTCTCGGTTCTCTCCATATATTATCATGACAGAGTAGTCTTGCTCCTGGGTTTCAGGGTCAGAAGATAATATGGCTTTATGCACAAGTTCCTGTTTCCCGGCTGCTGGGCAGAATGGCGGGAGTTGGATTTTGAGTCCTCTGAGAGGATTTTCCAGAGTAATGGCAGAGGTTTTATCGGCTACGATAAGCCAACCTCTTGATGATCCGCAGATTCTCTTTCCTCCAACAGCTGGTGATTCATGACCGTGTACTTTCGTGGCGGAGATGCAGGAAAGCTTCTTGCAAGCGTTGAGAATCCTGTTGCACAAGTTGATCTTGGGTAGGCTTGGGCGATGATGGCAAATCATTGGCCAAAAGAAGAAGGAAGGTGTTAGTTGAGATTAGTCCGAAAATTTTCGTTCTACTTTACCCTCTGCCCGTTTAGTTGTATGCTTATATACTAGGTTCGGGAAAACCGAACACTACAAGGATTTCCTCGTACGAATAGGAAACCCTGTCAAATTTTAAACAAGAAGAGTAAAAAAGAAAAAAACGTACGAAAATATTAACGTATCATTGAAGAGTTATCTGTTTCAGATAAGCTTAATTTCTTTAAACATATAATTTTTAATTTATTTTTAAAAAAGTCAGGTTCGTGTATTTATCTTTTTGCTATTCCCTGTTTGTCAATTGTCAACGCTCCAAATTTGAAGGAGTTTCTCAGGGGGATTGGAGAAGACTCTGAAAGATGAGTGTGGATTGGACCCAACTCCCAAAAGAATTGGTGGATATAATCTCCAAAAAACTCACTATCTATGGCGATTACCTCCGGTTTCAGGCCGTGTGTCGCACGTGGCGGTCCTCCGTACCCAGTATTCCGACCCATCTCCCTCCTCAGCTCCCATGGCTTATGCTTCCCAAATCCCAGTCCCGGCTCCAACCTCGCCGTGCCTTCTTCGATCTTTCCAACCACAAGGTCCACATCCTCAACCTCTCAGAAGCAGCTTCGCGCAAGCGCAGTTGCGGCTCCTCCCACGGCTGGCTCGTACTCCTCGACGAAACCCCTGAGGTTATACTTCTAAATCCGCTCTCTCGGGCCAAGCTTTTTCTCCCTCCGCTCTCCTCTTTCCCTAATGTTATAGCCTTCAATTATTCTCATATCGGCCGAGAATACTTACTTCTTTTACTCTCTTCCGGCGATCGCTACACGCGCAATCTAAGGCAAATGCGTGATTACTTCATCAAGAAAGTCGTATTATCCTCCAGTCCCGGGATGGATACAGGCTTCTTCGCATTAGCGATTCTGAATCAAACTGGCGATTTAGCCTACTGCAGAAACGGAGACAACTGTTGGAGGTTGATTGAAGGCTTGCTTTCTTATTGTGAAGATGTCATCTTCTTCAAGGGATCATTCTACGCTGTCGATAAGTACGGAACAATCATGGTGTGTGATCTTCGGGGCTATACGCCTAAGATTTCGATCGTCGAAACGCCACGACAACTCGGTGGTGATATGCAGTATTTGGTTGGTTTGGGAGACGAGTTGTTGCTGGTGACCCGGTATCTTGATCTTGAGTTGGATTTCGAGCCTAGTAGGCAGAATTTGATCTTTAGGACCAATCGCTTTGAGGTGTTCAGGCTTGACGCGAGCGGGTTACAGTGGGAGAGAATCTTAAACTTGGGCGATAATATGATATTTGTGGGTGAAAATTCTTCATTGTCATTTTCAGCTTCTGATTTTCCAGGTTGTACCGGGAACTGCGTATATTACACCGATGATTATTCCTACACTAATGATGGGGTTTTCATAGAACCCGATTTGGGCATTTACAGGTTATCAGACGGAAGCATCGAGCCGTTGCCCTGCTACCCTGCGAATTCTTTTTATGGGCTACAGTGGCCACCTCCGATTTGGATTACCCCTAATCCGTGCTAAATAAAGGTCAGTACAAGTGCTTTATGTAAATTACAGGTTTGATTCAAAACTTCATTGATCGAGTATTTTGAAGCATATAGATTTCAAGATGCAGCGTTGTAAGAATTTTAGTTCTGATGCTTGGTCAGGTCCAATGGCAATTAATAGATTGCCTACCAAATAAGATTTATGATAGTCATAATAGTAACCTAGTTATAATACAAGGAATAATAATTCAAATGTGTGAATTGCTTATTAGGCTAAGAACAGTCCCACTTGGATATACATTCATCAAATCATCAAAATTTGTGGAATTCCTTTCGAAATAATTCTTGAGTTCGTATGTATTGACTGACAGGCTGAAGGGATTTTGCTCGGGGAAACAGGTAACCTAGCCATGTGCTGTGTGGGTTGTGTTATAAAACAGATGAAGATGATACACTTGCTATCTTGTGCTGTTCAGTTCTGTTCTGTTCTGTTATATGCTTAATATATTCAAGATCTTTGGAGCTTATGTTTTATGGGTAAATCAATCAGTGTGTACTGCGCTATTGGGCATATTGTTGGATCAAGAACTGGCAAGTGCTATTGTTTATGGTTTCATCTGGGGGCTTATCTGCATTAAACATATAACTTATTACAATCTGATCAGCAGATTCTGGCCCCAAAATTTGGCAGCCACAGACACGTGATTTGATCAGCAGAGCCTGGGTTTTTTTGATAATCTCCACAACATTAAAATTTTCCAGGAACAGGATGGATTTCACCTGCTCAAAGTTCAAGCCTGGCCACCACCTAGGCAATTCTCCAAATTTGGTGTTCAGTGAACAGAGATTCTTCTGATTTTTGCTTTGTGTGCGTGTTTCTTATCTCTGTCTTTGAGCTGGGGAAACCCAGTTCAGTGGATGTCTCCAAGGCCCAGTTCATATCTACCTCGTAACTCTCGCAAGCACAAAATCTTTCTTTTCTAGATTTTTATTGGTTATTGTTGAATGCCAATCTTGGTGTAATAAGCTTTTAAGAGTTTCTTGATCTGATAGTCAGGTACGGATGAGCTCCATAACGTTAAACCCATCCAGAAACGTTGCGTTAACGATTACTTGTATATTGACCCCGATACAATTTAACTTTTGATTTGCCTACACGGCACTCACTCTTAAGTGTATATATGGACAAGAAGAGGTAAAATAGCAGAGCAGTCTACTACTAGGCTATGCACCTCATCGAGAAGACGGACAGAGAGTCCGTCAAAGGTGTACCATAATTTCTGGGATGGTCACTCTCTAACCCATATTCCATCGCTGGCCGGTATTCCAGCTCCTCATCATGATCGTACACAAACTCCGGTATCTCAATCTCCTTCCTCCTCACATGTTCCCACAAAAACTCTAGCCTCGTCACGTACTTGAGTTTCCCGTATAATCCTCCGCTGAGGATAAAATGACCAAAGGTGGCGAGGAAGAGTCTGGCCTGTAGTCCCGGGTGCACTACATAAACAGCCTCCAGTTGATTCTTAATATTGATCGGAATCCCATCGTAGATCGACCTGAGTGCTGAGATTCCCGGGAAGTTCTTGCCCCATTCAGTTCTCGTATGCACGTACACCACCGAAAACGGCTTCTCTCCAAGCTCTGGGTATATCTTCTCCTCCAAGTACTTGTTCACTGCCTCGATACTCACATGCCTCGCTGTTCCATACGATAACTCAAATCAAATTTCAAGAAATTATAAGAGCCAAAATTGTTCCAAAAAAAAAAAAAAGCAGAGTAGTGAATAGATTACCAAGGAAGAGGTTGCCGATGATCCGAAGAAGCTTATGACCACGTTTGTCTCTGCCTTGGATCTTGAAGAGTTGAAGTTTGTGGAGGAGTTGTTGTTGGTGGTGGTCAGGAGCGACCATGGTTTTGGTCATTTGGTAGAGTTGTATGGAGCGAGGGATTGTCTTGAATGCAGAGAAATATTAGAGGTGGGTGGGTTTATATGGTGACGAAAAGAGGAAAGGGATGAGATTGGGGGGCTTATCCCGAAACGGTAACTAAGCCGCCCACGGATTGAATGCGGCAAGCCGCTGGGGTATATTCTCAAGCATCTTCCGTTATGGATTCAAGAGAATCTGACTCAATTCATGTGATTTTCACCGATTCACTGAGAAGACGTGTTTGTCCAGAATCTTATCGGGGTTTCCCATACTTGCATGTTTCATCTCTGCCCTTCAAGACTCGTTATCCAACGGCTAATCTTACTTGTAGGGGTTGATTATTGATTGGCCGTTGGATCATCGTATGTGATGGATGAATTGCTGTTGCCGCTTCCATGCAAGCTCTGTCCCATTACATTGGAATTTGGACTTACCCTCTAAATTTCAGATTAAACCCATCCCACGCTAGCTGGCTTCCAAAAAAAAAGTCTTAAAAAAATAGCATAGCTTTTATATATATATATATATATATATATATACGACAACTTATATCTATACACAGTTTAATAATATATAACATATTACACATACACAACTTGTATACATGAAATAAGGGAGGGTCTGCTGGGGGATTTTTCAAATATTCATTCAAAAATAGTAGAAGTTTGTGGAATTCAAGTATCTTGTTTTAAAAGTTTTTAAGTTCACTTCTTTGCAGCTCTACACCTTCAATTAATTCCAAATATAATGGATAAACAGCTTTCTATTATCTTCAAAATCAGCAAATGAACAAATTGATGATAATGAAGTTTAAGTGCCCCTAAACAATCACGTAAACATACAGATGGATCCGTAAGTTAATAAAGTGAGCAGGCAAAAAGCACACCGAAGAATGACTCGTTCGAAATTCATCCATCAACCTTGCTTCTCGTAAACTCGGTCGTCAATCATGGAAGATTATGAGAATAACTTATTGTTTATCGGTCGCACTAGCCTTCTCTGGCATAGGGTTAAACAATCCTTCGTTCTTGCAGAGGTTTATCTGTAGAAGCAGGTTCTGCACTACTCCTTTTGCTCAACCAAACTTCAATACCCGTTCGAATGCAGACGCATTTGTTTCGAATCTAATTGCTGATGTGATAACCTGTACTTCTGTCTCTTGTTGCTTGTCAATTCATGCGCAAGTTTTAAAATTTTTGAGTTATCGTCACGGGTTCATTGGCGATCAGTTGGTGTCTGCTTATATGAGATTGGGGTGCGAGGAACAT